ATATTACAGTACTATATATACACCATGGTTTATATATTAAAATATACTATGTTTTATATGTAGTGTGTATATATATATTATCTATATTAAAAAAAATAACCAAAGTTTCCACATAAATTGCTTAGCTGGTTAATTGCCTAGTATATATATAGTTATATATAGAAAGAATATATATTTATTTGAAAACAGGTACATAAATGCGTATGTGTCTATACGTATGTATTTAAATAAAAGCATGCAGATACTCCAGCAGTACCTAACAATCACTTTTAGATGTACAAACAAGTTTAGCTTCCTATTTACAGTAATAGATGCATCAGTTTGGCAAACCACAGTAAAGGAGGTTTGTGGTGCTAAGAGCATACTTCTTATTGCATCTATTGACTGTTGAGGAAAAAAAAATGAGCAAGAAAGGGCATCTGCTAATTTAAAAATAAGTATGTGACTACCTGTGGTAATATCCTAAATTCGATTAAAGATTAGATAAACAGAAATGGAAAATAAATACTGTGTTTTACAGTAAACACTGTCCAAAGCTAGCGATCAGTTCATATACAGGACAATGCATGTTTCAACAAAACAACAGGGGGAATAACTCACAACATAAAGAAAACTAAATGCCCAAAAGTTAGTTACCTATAAGGAACACCATATAGGACAATGATATATTCCCCCTTCACATGAAAGGAGTCTCACACTTGGCCTTATGTCTTTAACCATCCTGGATCTGTACCTACTGGAAACATAATATTCAGGTTTTTTACTAAGTTAACAGTATACTCAACCCGCTCGGCAGACAACTGCAATGGTGACCCAAACGATGCAAAGCATTCGTTATTGTATTTTCTCCTTAGTGACTTTTAAAGAGTGTATTTCATGGCCCCGTCAAAATTTAGTGACACTTGCTCTTGCCCCATACTTACTTAAGTATTTCCTTTAGATGGGGTCTCTTCATTTGATTTAAGAGTTTTAAAAGGGCATCAGCTTAAAAATTTTGGTAAAACAAAAAACCTACGTTCTACCGTGTGCGCACCTCATCATTTGGGTGGTTTTACAGGGCAGGGGATGTTAAACGTTTTGTACAAAGTAAGACTGTTCCATAATAAATGGAAATTAAAGTTAAAAAATCAAACTGTTTATTTTCTTACTGATTCTCATTAAAATCTTAAGTAATGGTAGTATGATCATTAAGCAAATGCAGCCCTCGACAACTAACTGATAATACCTTTTGATATTGCCAATGTTTGGCACCAACTGCACGTGGAAAACAATGCTGAATTTGCTTTTATGATTGGCAGTTTTACCTAGTGGATGAACATTGATTACTAAAGAAGCTACGGCCAAAGTAAAAGGATGATAATTAACAAAAAAAAAAAGAGACAAAATGTGAGTAAGAGAAGTTTTGCTCCAAGTTAGAGCCGGAAGACAAATTAACATTTCACACCCACAGACATAAAGAGTACAATACAGTAGAAGCTACAGTTTAACCACAGTGTTAAAGAATTGCCAAGAAGAGAAACCACATTTTCATCAAGCTTTAAGATATGACAATATAAACAGTTAAAACATCCACTTTACATTCAAAGAACAAGCTAAAGAGACCAAAAGCTCAGTGTTGGCTACTCAGTGTGACAGCTTCTACGTATTTCACAGGAAATGTTTAAACAAAAATGTAAGGAAAGTTTTTAAACTAACCAGTCTTGTTTTCCCCTTAAAAAATGAGGTGTTAGACAAACTTGATAAGGGAAATGTTACCAATTGCCTACTCCAAAAGCCACAAATTCCCACCAGATGAAGTATTTGTACAAATACTTTCCCTTTCTGCTGTATCAGGTCTCTTCAAATCTTCTCAAAAGTAATGGTACAAGTCTCAAAAAAAAACCCCACCCAAAATTTCATATTTGACTCAGGAGTTTTGACATATGAAGCACATTCAAGTAAGATTTTCAATTCTATAAAGCTATTAAAAGATCCCTCTCCCAAATTTCCTTACGTTTTAGAAAGCGACTATGGGAACATCATTCTGACAAGTCTGGAGTTCAACAGACAGTTACAGAACATGGCAGCTCTTTATTGCTGCTCCTCAGGTCCACCTGGCATCCTTTCACATTGCAAATGTTAAAACATTAAGAAACATTTTCAGTACGTTTAGCAGCTACAAATACTAAGATCTTTTTAGTACAAAATAAATAAGTATTCCTTGTGGAAAACTGTGAAGACAGATTCATCCTAAGAGAGAATAATTTTCTTCTCAAGATTCTTAAACTGCTGCATTACAAGTGTCTATCAAAGCCACTACCTGAGAAGGCACAAAAACGTGAAAAAAATCAAAATTACAAGGCTGTAAAAAATTCACTCAGTCTGGAAGAAAAAAAAAAAATCTCATGTAATGTCTTAACAGTATGATAACGTAGTTAGAGCAGCGACATGCTGCTTCAATTAGATACAACATTGCTTAGACACGAATGAACCCATGAAACTAAAGCAAGCAATGGATAGGAGGGTCACCACTGTAACAGCATCCCCCCTACACACAACTGCCCCCTCAAACCCACCCAACCCCCTGTACGTTAAATCTGGGAAAAGCCAGAATTGCATCAGAACCCTACCAGTGCAGCAGCAAAGTGCCTCTCTGTCTTAAGGACACTACACATTACTGACAGAATAAAATCCAAAAGTCAAATCAAGTTACAGGTTCCAGCGTACACCATGGAAGCAAGAATAATTAAAACATCTTCCAATCAAACTCATTCTGAAAGACTATAAATAAAAATAAAGTTACTTCAACTGAAAATAATGGTTGTCAGTCTGCTTTAGCACAGAAAAATTCAACAGAAAATTAAGATAAGCGAAAGTAAGAACTATTACTTTACCCACCAACTCAAGGTAACAGGACTACAAACGAGAGGGTTTTCATCATTGAAATTCTCAAAACAAGGAGTAGGCCAAAGAAAGAATGTACTGCTCCTTCTGAGATTTTCTGCTACCATGACCTGCGTACCATAGAGCTTGTGCACAGCACCCTTTAGAATATTGCCTAGTTTTGTGCCAACAACCTGAAAGCCAGTGTTTCTCAAACTTAACTGTCACAGCACGCATGCACAGCAATATTACTTCAGAATAGGTATTTTAGCATTAGTTACTATGTACTACTACATAGATAAGCAAGTGCAAGTTGAATATGGAAAGAAGAAACATGATTTCATGACAAGTTTTTCACACAGAAATGTACTGTCTGAACTGCACCAGAATGACCTGCATTCAGTGTGAATTCTAAATACCACAGAACTACACCAAAATGTAACAGTTTTCTCTCAGTGCTGTGTTTGGTAGCCTCCCAGTTCCAAACTCGTGTAGACTTTTAGACACTGTCATCATCATCATCATCCCTTACAGTTCTCCTTCCCCCATTTACAGCTATTTTAGAACAACAAGGAACGCTATTATACTTTGTATAGTCCAAATCCTCCCAGTCATTATCCAGTCATGAACCTCATGTTGCCTCCTTCATCTAGTCAGTATCAAGAGTTAACATGCATTAACTTTAAAAATTTTACCTTTTCTAATGATTTTTGTTTTTCCTTTTCTCTTCCTCTTTTTTGTTTTTGGAGAATCTTCACAATAATTACCGTTATTGGAATCTGCCTCTGATTCTGTATCAGAGGAGTGATTGAAGCTGGCACCAGGTCCAGATTTTGAACTCCCTGCAATTCTAGTTGGCACCAAGCTCTCCGAGACAAAACTTTTCCCGTCCTCCTTGTCTTCTGTTTCAGATTCCTCTAAATCACTCAAGACTTTTGCTTTTTTTAAAGGAGCAGCACGCTGCAGACCAGTTGCTTTTCTGCCGTTCCATCTATCCAATTCAGAATCCACTTCATCCTCAGAGTTGCTCACTGCAGGCTTAGTATGTGCAGACGTTGACCGGTCAGAAACTTTCTGACTGCTCCCATCCTCTGAATTATGGCTTTTAGAGTCCTCCTCGGAAAAGTCTAGGGTGGGACTTTTCCTTTTGAGAGATACAGAATGGACTGTCCTACGTAACTGTTTATGACCGTTGCTTTGCCAGTTTTTCTGCTTCACCTCTGTGTCTGTCTCAGAATCTGAAGTGCCATTTTCAGATTCACTAACAAATTTTCTTCGTGCAGCAGATGAACCAGGCTGAGAAAGAATTTTTCTCTTGGTAAGCTGCTTTTCTATTTCTTTTTCACTTTCAGACTTTAAGCCTACATCATCCTCAGACCCCTCCAGTAACATTCGCCTGGCTGCAGCTGAGGCATTTCGGTGAGGCAGTTTTCTATTCTTGCACCGAATGGCAATACTTTCTGAGCTTGAAACCTCTTCCTCCACATCACTCATTAGCCTTAACTTATTAGCAGCCACAGCAGCACTTCTGCGTCGAGTTTTTCTGTGCCTACCAGTACTATTACTGACTGAGTCAGCTGTCACCACTGAAGTATTTTGAGAGTCATTTCCATATAACTTTTTCCTGACAGTTTTTCTTGTATTCCCATTTTCCTGAAGAAGTGTTCCTGTAAAGGAAAGGAGAGATTAGTATTTTAAATATAAAAATAGCAGCTTCTTAAGTCTTGTCAAATCTGAAACAGGTTCAACCCACAGACACGACAAATGAAATATACTCCTAGTAACAGTTATGTGTGTTTGTTGTCTGCCAAAAGAGATTATTTAGCTATGTCATAAATGTTGGACTCATTCTAGTTTCGTGAAAATTAGAACTTCTTTACCAATTATTGCTTTTACTTTCATTAAGGTATAAAATGTTGCAAGACATGCCCTCTCACTAGGCTCTTGGTTTCTGTCTTCCTCCCCTAAGTACTGGAAAGAAAAACATTTTTAAAACTTGAGTGCAGTACTTTCAGAGCTTCAGAACTATCACCAATCAAAAACTTTGTACCTTACATATACAACAATGTAAAAAATACTAATTACATTTAGTGTTTTTTATATATATACACACATACACACACTTGTATTATTTGCTGTTCACAAGAAAACTACTCAAATCTTACCTATTTGTTTTCTCTGAGCAGCTGTATTTCTAGTTATCCTACGATTGTTGTTCTTTCTTCTACATACACCATTTTGTAGTGGAGGCGACACAAGAGCTACAGAGCTTTCTTTGCTGTCTTCTGAGCTACTTGTAGAGGATGAAGATGAAGTACATGAAGAAACCAAAGAATCTTCTATTTCACTTTCTGTTAAAAAAAAAAAAATTAAAAACGTGTCAATTAGAATTCTAAGCACAGTTAGCTTCCAGTTAAGAGCTACATTTTGCTGATCCAGGAAATCTTCAAAATTTCCTCACGATATTATCTTACAATACACTATCATGCCTTAATGTCTTAGATGTATGAAACTGATAGATCTACAAAATATACCCCTCCATATTTATACTGTGTTCAAGTGATAGGAAGCTTCTTTAATCTGTATTTAAGTTTCAATTAAAATAACAGCTGTTTCAAAATAACAGAATTAAGAGAAAAGCATGTTAAAAAACAACACCAAAAAATTCCGACAGATCTCTTTTACCAGAACTTGCATTCTTATTCTTTGAAAAAAGTGGAATTTCTGTCAAGGTG